TTATTTATTTATTTATTTATTTATTTATTTATTTATTTATTTAGGTTTTTCGAGACAGGGTTTCTCTGTGGCTTTGGAGCCTGTCCTGGCACTAGCTCTGTAGACCAGGCTGGTCTCGAACTCACAGAGATCCACCTGCCTCTGCCTCCCGAGTGCTGGGATTAAAGGCGTGCGCCACCATCGCCCGGCTTTTTTTTTTTTTTAAAAAAGATTTATTTACTTATAAAACTGTTTCTATAATTGTCTATACCCATTTTCTTTTTGTTTCTAAAGTCTATCAATGTTTTTTAAACACACTGTGACCCATTGGGAGGTTTATTTTTATCTGAATTTGTCTTTATTGGATATCTATAATCCTTTTTAAATCACTGTTGTGAACTGTTAAGTAGGCATGGCTAGGACCAGAGCAGCCACTTTGGCTGTCAGTTCCACCCTGTTTAGCTTTCCAACATGGCAGAGGTCCATTTACCACCCACCAGCTCTGGGAGCCATGTTTACCACCCCAATTCTAAAAAGCAGTTGGCCCACGTTGCCTGCAAACCCCATTCAAGTGCTCCACAGAAGAACCTCTAAAAAGATCCCTCCATTCTACCAGCATGAACCAGGAAGTTTTTTTTTTTTAAATTTATTTATTTATTGTGTATACAATATTCTGCCTCCATGTATGCCCACACACCAGAAGAGGGCACCAGACCTCATTACAGATGGTTGTGAGCCACCATGTGGTTGCTGGGAATTGAACTCAGGACCTTTGGAAGAGCAGCCAGTGCTCTTAACCACTGAGCCATCTCTCCAGCCCCAGGAAGTTTCTTTAAGGAGTTGCGCATCTGCTCACCACCAGCAAACAGAGCCTATCTGAAAAAAAAAAACTGCAGCTACCAAGAAGCTACATTTGGCTTCCATTTTTTGGGGTGAGAGGGGTCTGGAAGCTCTCTTTTTTCTTTTTTAAGTTTTTCGAGGTTTGATATGGATCCATGCAAGACAGTGGAGTGCCATTTGTACACATACAGTCATAAAATTAGATTTTAAGATAGTAATAAAGTTCTCTACCTACCTCTAAATGGGTCAAACACTTCTTTGAAGCAGGGGAAAGTGGAGATAGCTGATAGGTACTACAGTGCCGTTTCTGCTGTACTTTCCTCTTAATTTCAGGCTCTATATATGATTCCGACTCTTCTGTTTTCTTCATTATACGATCTAAAGGAAACAGGAGTAAAAAGCACTGAACTTAAATTTATTAAGTTCTTCATGATCTTTGTTATAGAAAAGTTAAAGTCCATATTTTCAAACACTGATTTTTTAGTTAAAATGGGATAGTGTGCAAACATGTATGATAAAGAATGATCAGAGGCTAGTGGGCATGAATTTGATTCTCAGGACCCACATGATGGAAGAAGAGAACTCCTGAAAATTGTTCACTAATGACTTGTTTACTAACACACCAACATGCACATACACAGTCACACACATACATGTAAAAAACAAAACTCAAGACCTTTAAGACTAAGGCATGCTACTCTTACCTGGTTTTCCCCCCTCAAGATTTCTACGCTGCAGACTACTTCCTCAGTATGGAAACGTTTTATTCAGTTGAAATAAGGCAACAAACATACTATACTAAACCACAGATGCCCTTTCCCCCAACTTAACTTTGTTCTTAGATTACTAATAAGAAAACAGAAATTCAAATATTTGCTATAAAGATTTAGATAAAGAACTGACCCTTAAGCTATCTGTAGATGTTTTTGTGGTAGTGGTTGTTTGGATATGTATTATTGCCCTAGAAATATGAGAATTGTCTTTATTATGTTTCAATGTAATTGCTCTATTGGCAGACTCTCGACTTTGCTAAATAATTCTAATATTTCTTTTTTTATCTACCCCCTTTTGAGATGAGGTCCAGCTATGTTAACCTGGCTAGCATGAATTCATTATGTAATCCAGACTAGCCTTAAATTTGTGTGCTTTCTTCTGCTTCTGGGTCCCAAATGTTACAGCAGCCATATACCACCATATCCAGCTTCCTTTTCTCTTCTGAAGTTTTCAAAACTTCATGAACAGGCCAGCCTTGTTTCTCTGTTTCTTCTCACAGAGGTTCATTTCTCCAGTGCAGTTTTATTCTCTCTCATATGTTCCTCTCCATGAAGCAACATCTACTCAATTTACCTGATGAATCCACATTCTTCTTTGCTAAGAAACTAACTGCCTTTATCCCACCCTGGCCAATTAATCAATCCATAGTTGCCATGGTACCCAATTTGTATTTATAGTAGCATTCATTAAGTAATAAAATACTTGCTTGTACTAGTCTATTGTTTTCAATATGCCTATGAGAAATAAGGTTTTTCTAGATGGAGTTTCTTTGTGTAACAGCCCTGGCTGTCCTGGTCACTTTGTAGACCAGGCTGACCTTGAACTAACAGAAAGCTGCCTACCTTTGCCTCCCAAGAGCTGGGATGTATCCCACCACCTGGCTGTCATATATTTTTTTAACACCCAGAAACTACAAAAGAAAAACTAGACAAGTATGTATTTAGCATATTGATGAATTGCATGAAGACAAAACTATATGATGCATTTAAGTATGAAATTAGTGAGGTGCGGTGGTGCATGCGTTTAATTCCAGTACTTGGGAGGCAGAAGCGGGAGAATTTAGGGGAAGAGATGCTGTTTCTATGTGACCTTTGAAAATGAATTACCCTTTACTATACAGATAATGAGCCATACATACATAAACTTAGAACCTAAAGCCTTAGCCTACAGCCAAAGGACATAAAAGACAAAAAGACAGAAAAAAAACAAAGCAAAAAACCTATCAAAGTTTTACCCTTATGTTACAAACAGAAACAAGCTAGTCTAGATGTTAGTGGCTTTAATAAGGGATAGTTTACTTTGCTATTTCTTTTGTTTTTTTTCAAGACAGAGTTTCCTGTGTCTTTGGAACCTGTTGTCTATCCTGGAACTATTAGCTCTTAGTAGACCAGGCTGGCCTTGAACTCACAGAGATCCTCAGGCCTCTGTCTCCCAAGTGCTGGGATTAAAGGCGTATACCCACCGCCCAGCTTACTTTACTATTTCTAAAGAAATTTTCACTTTGTGGAAATTATATTATAGTGGAATAGTTATACTATTCCACTCTGAGTAAAAAAGAACACAGACTTTTTTTTAGATCAGAAAGTACATAAATAGGTGTCCAGAATATAATGAATTCCTTGTAAAAATTAATTTACAGCAAAGTAAGTCTGAAAACATGGCCCTCAATAGGATATGGGTTATGAGTACCTGAAAGGCCAAGGCAGGAAAATCGAGCCCAGGAGAAAACAGACCAGACTGAGAAACACAGGGATCCTCAAAGGATTCCTCAACTCCTTTAAACAACAAATCTGCTTCATATTTGTTTTATTTTATTTTGAGACAGGTCTCACTGTGCAGCCCTGGTTGACCATGACCTTGCAGAGTATTGGGGTTAAAGGTTGTGACACCAGGCCCCACTGAAATTTCTTTTTATTAAACTCAATTATGAACATAAAGGAAAATCCACAGTAAAATATAAAAGTTTCATTAGAATTTATAAACTGAACACAAGATCTGTGCATATTATTCAGTTTAAGTATGTATTGGTTTTCTGGCAAATGTTTCATAAATACAAATAATATTTAATTAAGTACAGTGTAACAGTATGCATTCTATTTAAAATAAGTATATGGCCTTCTCTTTGTATCTGAGAGGGGCCTAATAACAGGATTCCTTAAGACTATAATTTGTAAATAAATGCTTGTTACCTGAAAGAAATAGTGTAGTATACTTATATAATCTATACATCTCTGTCTCTATATCACTTCTAGATTATCTATGTTACCTAACATACTCTATAAGCTATGTAAGAGGTTATCTTACTATGCTGTTTAGTGAATAAAAACAAAACAGAGGGGTATATGTTCAATACAGATGCAATTTTTTATTAAACCAAGGTATTATTTTTCACTTTAATTTTCCATAATAACTTATACTGTTAAATGTATGCTTTTGCAAAACCAAAATTAAGTATTAAGATCATGACTACCATACAGTGTGTTTAAAGCAGATGATACTGTGTTCATTAGCATCACTAAAAAGAAACAAGACCCAGATACCACAACTAAAGCAGGATTCTGTTTCTTAACTGAAGTTATTTGGAACTGTGAACTGCTGTAGGGCAAAATTCAAATACTTGTGCTCTTAAAAATCAACAATGCTATGACTAAAAAAGTGATTATAATATTCTAATAACAGAAAAAAATAACGAACGTTCATGGAGATCAGTAAGTATTCTTAAAGGGTGAGAACAACAACTCCTCTTTTTAGATGGGATTACTCTATTCATTCTGAGGGGGAACCTAGTGAGGACTCCTAGCAATGGAGGATACAAAACTTGAAGTGGACATCTTCTATAATCATGCAGGGTTTCCAGCAGGAGGACTGGGACATCAACTGGCCACAAAACTTTAATATACATTCTGTCCTGACTGCAAGGTATGTTGAGAAAATGGTGACCTATAACTTGTGTTGAGGATCCAACCAATGACCAAACTATGAGAGGGAACCCATGCCTGACACTGCCCAGATGACCAGGAACACAAGGCTGTATAGCCCAGAAACCTAGGGTAGAATCAAATATAATTGGTCAAAAAATAAGTAATAAATGAAACAAAATGATTACTAATGATATTCTGCTATACTCAAAGAATGATGCCTAGCCCATTCACTGTCTCCTGCAGCTGATGCGAGACCCAAGGCCAAACATTAGACAGAGAGAGATTAGATTACCCAGGTTTCCATTAGGTCCCTCCCCTCAGAGCTCAGAAGAGGGGGAGGAAGAATTGTGGGAACCAGAGGGGTAGAGGGCACTGATTGAGCAGAACTTGAAGAATAAACTAAGCAAGGTTTGTGAGAGCTCAGAAACTAAATCAGCAATCCCAGAGCCTGTATGGGACTGTGCTAGGTTCTCTGAAATTATCTTAGGATTATGTAGCACAGTCTTCTTGTAGGACTCCTAACAGTGGAAAAGGGGGGTTGTCTCTGACTCTTTGCCTGCTCTTGGGACCCTTTTCCTTCTACTGGGTTGTCTCACCCAGTCTTAAAGTGAGCCTTTGCGCCTGGTCTTATTGCATCTTGTTGTGCAATAATTTGGTTGTCTCTGGGAGGTCTGCTTTTTTCTTTTCTGAGGGAAAACAGAGCAAAGAATGGATGGTGAAGAATGGGGAGAATGGGAAGCTGTGGTCTGGGTGTACTGTATGAGAGAAGACTAAATAAAAAATTTTAAAAATTTATAACAGCAGTTGATGCTTATCAAGTAAACTATTCTATATAAAGATACTCAAATAAGCTGTTAGGGTCCGCACATCACTCCACAAAGACCACCACTCACACATGCAATCTGCAAGAGCATTTATTTCTTGAGAACAAATTCTGTATCTAGGGGTCAGTCACACAACAATATGGCAGCAACCCTGAGAGAAGCTCACGGGCTCCTTTTATACATTGCGAGGGCAATTACATGGACAGTTAGGTCATCTCCAACAAACATGATTGGCTAAGCAAGCAATGAATACACTAGTTTAAATTTGATTGGTACCACAGTGATTTCTTTTAAAGACAAAAATATTCCAGGAACTATGCTAGAAACTAATGACACACAGTCTCCAAAGAAAACACTAAAATTGCACGTGATCTCTATGCAGCACTATAGGCAATATTATGCTAGTACCATAGTTTATCCTATAACCAAGCATATATCTACCTGCCTAACACAAAAGTGGCTGAAAATGGAAGGCTCCATTACCTTAATATAATTAAAAATAAGAGGTAGCATCTCAATATAATTTTTCCTTACTCTCAAGATAAGTAAAGCCTTGGCTGGAATTGTTCAATTGGTAGGTCAAGTGCTTACTTGGCATGCACAAAACCCTGGGTTCAATGTCCAGCACTACAGAAACCAAGAGTCTATAGCTGGGATACAAGACTCTCTTAAAAATACCTCTCCCCTTGACAAAGTTTATAATTTAAATATGCAAATATTATCCTGAAATTTAAATACTGCCTATAAGGACTTACAAATAACAGCGTATAACTTTCCTGAAAATAAACAAAGAAAACACAAAATTATTAGACAAGAATCAAGTAATAACTGTTGTATGAAAGAGAATAAATAAAAAATAAATGAAGAAAACAGAAAATTATTAAACAAAAACCAAGTAACAACTGTTGTATGAATGAATTACAGCTTCATTAGGACCCACTAATGAAGCTATGGATGCAGTGCAATTCTATAATACCAGAACTCCAGAGGCGTAGGCAGAGGATTTGGAACTTAAAGCCAAAGTTTGACATAGCCAGTTTGAGGTTGAGTCATATAAGGCTTTCTGAAAAGTTCAACACCATCCCCCACAACAATCACCAATGAATGATAAAGTCAGAATCTGCAGTACCTCAGCATTATCAGAGAACTTTACTAAGTACCAAAGGGAAAACAGTAATTTTGCAGTGAAGAGACTATGGAGAAACTACTATATAACAAAGTGATCAAAACTAACATCACCAGTAACCAAACACATTAAAATCATGCAATCCCTGATATAATGCACTAAAAAAGCACATCATTTCTGTGCTGTGAAAAAACAGCAGAGATAGTCTTATCATCATCATCATCAAACACAAACCAAGTACAAAAGCAACTCTTCTGAAGTCATCAAAATTATCCAGAACTAAAAAAACAACTAATTGCAATGTGGGAAAGGCATCAATGAAAAACAGGTTAGTTCTGAACAAGCTCAACAAGCTTAGCAAATAGTCTTATAACAAGACAGACCTATAGTGGCATATGCCATGAATCCCATCATTCAGAAGGCCAAGGCAGGAGATTACTAGTTTGAGCTAATGCAGATTATATAGGGTACTACGGAGGCTTGACTTATGTAATGAGGTCCTGTGTCAAAAATCAAACAGAGAGCCGGGCAATGGTGGCGCACGCCTTTAATCCCAGCACTCCGGGAGGCAGAGGCAGGTGGATCTCTGTGAGTTTGAGACCAGCCTGGTCTACAAGAACTAGTTCCAGGACAGGCTCCAAAGCCACAGAGAAACCCTGTCTCNAAAAAAAAAAAAAAAAAAAAAAAAAAAAAAAAAAAAAAAAAAAAGCCAAACAGAATCCCAATAAACAAACAAGTAAATAGCTTGTACTAATCTTTGCTTTTGACAAAAGTATTGATTTAAAAGGTATGACAATTATGAATAGAAACTATTTTATAATGGCTTTGCAATTTTTCTGTAATAATAATAGATAATTAGATCTACAGTTATTTTAAAGTGAATCACAAAGAAATCCAAAGATTATTTCAAATTCTTTAATGAATATTGTTGGGTAGTTTTTGTTTGTGTGTTTGAGACACGGTCTTATTATTAGCCTTGGATGGCCTGAACTTTCTATGTGGACCAGACTGGTCTTGAACTCACAAAAGTCCATCTGCCTCTACCCAGAGAACTAGGATATAAGGTGTGTGCTACAGGGCCCAGCTGAGTGAATACTGCTGAACATTAATGAGTGTTGTTGGGTAAACTAAGTATTCTAACATACTGGCTAAATGACACCTAAAATATTACTAGTGGGTCTAATCACTTTGTCGCTCTGTAACACATCTGTCAAATAGAGATAGTATTTGTATTGTTCTTCTCGCAAGATCAAAGTAACTTTGTACTGAGTAAGAGATTTGACATTAAACAGACCTGGGTTTCAAACCAGCTGCCATAGTTATCTCTGTAAGCCTGGGCAAATAAGTCAATGCTTCTATGACACCACTTGCTCTTCTCTATAAAGTAAAGGTATAAAATCTGAATTTAGAGGGATCTTTCACAAGAAAGAGGATATGAGTACCGAATAAATATAATGCATTTGACTTAGCAAGTAGAATGGAGTCAGAGTTCAATAAAGAATGGAAGTGTAACCGGGCGGTAGTGGTGCACACCTTTAATCCCAGCACTCAGGTGGCAGGGGCAGGCGGATCTCTTTAAGTTCAAGGCCAGCCTGGTTTACAAGAGCTAGTTCTAGGACAGGCTCCAAAGCCACAGAAAGACCCTATCTCGGAAAAAAGGGGGGGAGGGGTGTAACAGAATGGACATTGGAGATGGTCATTATTGCTAAACTCAATTTATTAACGTAATTATGCACTGTAAAGTATAATAATTCAAATTTCAAATGAATAATAATACATGATAATGAAAAATGATGCAGCTGAGCATCAAAGTGTTTCACTTACACAACAGAGGTATACTCAATGCATGTACAAAAGTTTGGCACTAGGAATCATCATGTTTAAAAACAAGCAAAGCCTTTTCTATAAACAAGGAGAACACATGTTAAGAAATCCTTTAGAGGGGCTATGGAAATGGCTCTTAAAGAGGACAGAGCTAAGCTCCAGCACCCACATTAGGAAGCTCACAACTTCTGTAACTCGAGTTCTAGGATCTGAGCCTCTGGCCTCTATGGACATCCATGCATATGCATGTGCTCCTCCCCACCCCAGACACACACAAAGTTAAAATTAACCAAAATAAATCTTTAAAAAAAATGAGGCTGGGCAGTGGTAGTGTACACTTTTAATAATCCCAGCACCTGGGAGGCAGAGGCAGGTGGATCTCAGATGACAGTGAGTTCAATCAAGCTCAGCCTGACTACAAAGTGAGTTCCAGGATACCCAGGACTGTTACACAAAGAAACTCTCTCTCAAAAAAAACAAAAAGAAAGAAAGAAAGGAAGGAAGGAAGGAAGGAAGGAAGGAAGGAAGGAAGGAAGGAAGGAAGGAAGGAAGGAAGGAAGGAAGGAAGGAAGGAAGGAAGAGAAAAAGAAAAAAGAAGAAGAAGAATCTATTCTAAAACAGAACAATGCTGAGCTGGCAGAATGGCTCACAAAGTAAAAGCATTTGCAGTGCATTCTCAACCACTAGAGTTATATCCTGGGGTCTGCATCTATAATCCCAGCACTCCTTATGGTAGGATACAGTGGGAAGGAGAGTTGCCTGAGAACTCAGGGGCCAGCTATCCTGGAGTACACAGTGTGGCAAAAACAACAAAACAGACTGCCTCAAGAAGGTGAAGGGAGGGAAGACTCCCAACGCTGTCTTCTGACCTGCACACATGCCCAATGACACATATCCCCAAATACCCCTTAAAAATAATTAAAATAGCAGGCGGTGGTGGCATGTGCCTTTAATCCCAGCACTCAGGAGGCAGAGACAGGTAGATCTCTGTGAGTTTGAGGCCAACCTGGTCTACAGAGTAAGTTCAAGACAGAATCCAAAGCTACAGAGAAACCCTGCCTCAAAAAAAAAAACAAAACAAAAACCAATCAAAAAAAAAATTCACTGTTTTATATAAGGAAAATCAATTTGATGGTGAAATAATTTTTTTGCACTAATACAAAACTGATAGAATCTAATATAAAACTATAAAACTATTTTAAGTTATAGATAATCTATAATTAATACTTGGACCTTTAACAAAAAGATTTCAAACTGTACTCACCTGATTGTGCAACAATCCTGACAATATAAGACAGTTTAAAATAAAAAAAATCTCAAGTCTGCCATAAAGTATGGTTTTCAATATTATTTCTATTATGTTGGAGACTATTCTAAAGTTACTATCTATAGTCTCTCAATTTGCATTCCTCATTCAGAGTAGCAAACGAAATTGTACACTTACCTACACCTTGGACATGACTTAACATTACAGGGTTGTTTTCAGCTTTTTGGACATGAGGTGGATATTCTTTCCTACAAAAGGAAATTTGTATGATTTCATTCAAATAGGAAATGGAGTTTTCAAAACGACAAGATCAAAGGACTACTTACATTACATTTATTCAGAGAAACCATAACTTGTCATGTTAAAAAATGGAGCTATAAAATAAACTGCACTGGGAAAATAAAACTACAGCTAGACAGCAGTGGTGCTATCTCATTTAAATTGTTCATCCACCAGAGTCACAACAGTGGACTGACTGCTGGGACACACATTCAATAAACAAATTCAAATTACTGGGGTTTTCAAGGCAATCATTTGTTTAATTGAATTTTTCTATTTTTTGGAAAGAAATGCCTCATTAACAGTCATAAACATGCAGATGCAAAGGACCCTCTGTCTTAGCCTCAAGTGGCTGGTATTTCAGGCACTACCTTTGCTGGCTTCTGAAGCAATGAGTTTGGACACTATATATTTAGGCCTCAAATACAAAATCTAGACCTTTCTCTCTTGAAATTTAACCAGTTTAAAAAATTCACATTAAAAATGTTGTCACATATCAGCTTGAAAAAATTATGCAAATGAACACAAATCAATTTATTTTTGCATGTTTTTCATTATTTAAAAGGTAATGAATGAGTAAGATGAATAATGAACCCCCAAAAAATGAATGTTAAGTTTGATCTTGACAATGTTAAATCAGAACAAAAAATGTTTCACATAAATCAATTATAGAACAAGCAATGTCTTGGTCTTATCTTGCATAGGACATTATGGCATATTTAAGACATTTTCTTAAAATATTAAACTACTCTGTCAAAGTTAATATACAATTATCATTATTTCAAAGGGGTCTCATTATGTGTCATAGGCTGCCTTCGAATTTGCAATCTTCCTGCCTTGGTGCTGGGAGTACAATCATAAACTACCATACTTCCTATGACATACAATCTAAATATAACTTCAGTAACTAAGTGTCCTAAGTAGTATATATAAGTATACTAAGTCTGAGAAAGAACAAAATTTTTCCGTAGCTAGTATTGAGAGAAATCACTACATAAGGAAAAAAAAGCACTAACTCAGGAGGTCTAAGAGATACTTTTTAACATTATGTAAAAATGTCTAAAAATACTCTTGTTTTATATAAGCAGGAAATCAAAGAAGCTATTCTACTCACAAATTCTCACACTATTGTTTACTATAGTTTCTATTTAGTAGAGAGCAGTGCAATTCATTTGATTAAATAGAACACAAGTGAATATTCTTTCAAGGATTTAATATTTACACATAGAAGTCAAAGCAGTTAAATAAAAATGACAAAGAAAATACTATTAAAAGAGGAGACAGAGGCTAGGGCGGTGGTGATGTACTTCTTTAATCCCAACACTTTGGGAGGCAGAGGCAGGCAGATTTCTGTTGAGTTCAGATTAACTGGTCTGTAGCCACACAATTATTAAATGACAACTTTAGAATTGAATCCCAGCAACAATAACTAGAGCAACAGCCCGAACATGTAAACAATTTCTACTCTGCCGAGATTTTAAATTTTGTGATGGTATAAATTGTGAAGGTAGGGAAAAGGACTTTCCTTTCACAGTGGTAGCAATGGTACCACTAAAAAGGGAAAACTGGGGATTTAACTCAGTGGTGGAATGTGTTTGCTTAGCCTGCATGAGGCTGTATATTGTATGTATGTATGTATGTATGTGCATGCATGTGTGTATGTATGTATGTATGTAATTTTATCACTCAGGATGTAGAGGAGGGTCAGAAGTTCAAGGTTAGGGCTGGAGATGGCAAAGCAGTTAAAAGCAAGTAAAAAGTTAACTTCCCTTGCAGAGGACCTAAATTCTGTTCCCAGCGGGCACACACACACCTACCCCCAACTCCCAAACCCTCCCCACACACAGTCACCTATAAATGCAGCTCCTGGAAAAGTTGAGACAATGCTTTTGACCTCCAAAGACACCTGCACTCATGTGCCCAAATCCACAGGAAGATACATAGACACACCCCCCAAAAAAAGTTCAAGGTCATTTCACTATACAGAGTGCTAAACCAATCTGCGATATTTGAAGACACTGAACCAAAGAAAGAAGGCCTAGAAGCCCTGCTAGCTAGTTTTCATAGTACGGGAAAGCAATATCTTCCTTGAATGACATATAAATGACAATACCTTATTATGAACCTTTTAGTTACAATGCCAATCAGTCAGGCAGGACAGGCCCACTGGTCTAATAGCGAATGAAGCTTACTGGGGTAGTCAGCTCTTTGCTGGTTAGATCTGAGGTCCTCTGCACAGGAGAGAATTCATGCCTGATACTAATGACCTAGTCAAAAGCCCTTGATTGGGGAGGTCATAGGTCATAGTAGTGACCTACTGCTGCTGGTTTGCCAAATAAACATAGTATCAAATTGCTTTCTAAATATTTATGTTTATACCCAAAGGACAGAGCTAACTTCTGCCCTGTTCAGAGAAGTTTATGTCTGAAATAAATGCCAGTTTGATGCAGAGACTCAGAAGTGATCAGTGTTAAGAGGTTCCTGTTGAGTGTTTAGAGCTGAACATGACATCTGTACACACTCCTTCTCCCCCCCTCACCCCCCAACACAAAGGCTCAGTGGGAAGTGTCAGAAGAATGAAAGAGCTGAGGAATGGGGACTAGCAGTATGAAATGTATTTTCTAGACATAAGATGGTAGCTGCACTCATAAACTCCGAGCAGTGGAATTTACCTACACAAGACCTGTATGTGCAAAAAATGAAAACCCCTCACTTGTGCTCATGCAAGGAATTCTAACTAAATGCTCACAAGGGGGTGGACACGGGACATGGGGGACACAGGGATGGGGGAATGGACAAAAGGAAGAAATAGATACTTGTTAAGGAGAAGAAGGGCTTCAGAGGGAGAAAGAGAGATGGATGGCAAGATATTGGGTGGATCAGTTCATACTACATTTTATGAAATTGTTAAGAGCAAGGAAGTCAGGACCACGAGGGGTGCACCCACCCACGGAGACAGTGGGGCGGATCTAGTGGGAGCTCACCAAGGCCAGCTGACTGAAAAAGCATGGGATAAAACAGGACTCTCTGAACATGGCGAACAATGAGGGCTGATGAGAAGAAGCCAAGGACAATGGCACGGGGTTTTGATCCTACTTCATGTTCTGGCTTTGTGGGAGCCTAGCCAGTTTGGATGTTCACCTTCCTAGACATGGATGGAGTGGGGAGGACCTTGGACTTTCCACAGGGCAGGGAACCCTGACTGCTCTTTGGATAGGAGAGGGAGGGGGAGAGGAGTGGGGGGAGGGGGAGAAGGGTGGAAGGAGGGGGAGGGAAATGGGAGGCTGGGAGGAGGCGGAAACTTTTTTTTCTTTTTCTCAATAAAAAATTTTTTAAAAAAATAAATTTTAAATGCTCAAAATTAATTTTTTTGAAGGGCATGTTTTCAGCTTCTAGCCTAGATGGTGCACATGCCTGTAATCCCAGCAGCTGGAAAGGCAGAATGATCAGGAGTTCAAGGTCAGCCTCGCTTTCATAGTGAGTTAAAGGCCAGCATAGACTGCAAGAGACTCCATCTCAAAAAAAGATTTTTGGGGGGCTGGAGAGATGGCTCAGCGGTTAAGAGCACTGACTGCTCTTCCAGAGGTCCTGAGTTCAATTCCCAGCAACCACATGGTGGCTCACAACCATCTGTAATGAGTATTCTTAATTATACTAAAATAAAATGCAAACATAAAAATATCCCTTAACTCTGTGGTGGTGGCACACACCTTTAATCGCAGCACTCAGGAGGCAGGGGTGCACAAGACAGCCAGGGGCACACAAAGAAATTCTTTCTTTAAAAAAAAAATCCTTAAGCTTAATATAAAAATGTTTCCATATGTATCCCAGATATCTGGGGTAGTACCACCAACCACTCCTGACTGTTGGAGCAAGGAGTGCACTACGACGCCCAGTTGGTTTCTCTGTATAGCACTAACTGCCTTTCCCTTTGTAAAAGTCTCTCGTGGCACAGACTGAGCTTGTACAACTTGGATTCTACTACCTCAGCTTCTCAAATACTGAGATTGCAGTTGTGAGCCACCACACCTGGCCAACTTTAGCCTCCTGTTTAAGGTAACCTTTAGCTGGAGAGATGGCTCAGAGGTTAAGAGCACTGACTGCTCTTCCAGAGGTCCTGAGTTCAATTCCCAGCAACCACATGGTGGCTCACAACCATCTGTAATGAGATCTGGTGCCCTCTTCTGGCCTGCAGGCATAGATGGAGGCTGAACACTGTGCATATAATAAATAAATAAATAAATAAATAAATAAATAAATAAATAAGTCTTAAGGTAACCTTTACCACTTTTCTCTATTCTAAAACTACCATTTCCCCCCTCACTCTTCTTGGCAACAAATTCAGTTCACACTCAAAAAGCAGCAATATCTACATATTTCATTTAGAATATTTCTGTAAGAAAAAGTTGTCTCCCAGTCCATTTTTACAAAGCATGTAAAATTCTATGAGCAAGGCTAGCCTGATCTACATAGTGAGTTCCAAGCTATGGACAGGTCTTGCTGTTTCACTCATCCTGTGCTCTTCATAACTCAGGCTACTCAAGTAATCCTGCTAGAAAGAGTTGGGTGATTTAACTGCAAATAACTTTACAGTTAAGGCACTGAAAATTTTATTTTTAAAGAAAATTAGTCAGACATCAGCATAAATAAATAATAACCATCCATGCCATATACATGCACTGAAAATTAGACTGAAACATTACATTACCCACACACCAAATATCACAATGTACTATGAATAGGTTTCCTTCAATTAAAATAGTAAGCTTTGTGATGAACTCCACTTTAGGGTATTGTTCAAAGCATATAAGCTGATAATTTACTGCTACACCAATGTTCTAATTTCATCAACATTAAGCTTACCTTTCTTTGCGGTCCTGATTGCTTAAAACATGAAAAAGAAAAAACATGTAAGCAGGAGACTTCACTGTTGGTATGTATATCATTGCAGTTGTCATATTGCAGTCAACAAGGCAAACTATTAATAGGAGTAATTGGTTTTAATGATATTTTGCATACACTATATGTTAACTATTAATTTTTTTCAATTTTGGTCAACATAAAATAAGTTGTCAAATATTTAATAGGAAGATATGGATGCATAAAACTAAAAATTCTCAGAAGAGGTTTACCTAAAGTATTTGATGACATATTATTTTATGACAGTCATAAATATCATTTAAGAAATGGTATTTCCTGGAAATTACAAAAAAACTAATAATTTCAGTTTTATTATATTAAAATCAAAGTTTCTAACTACACAGCAGTCTTAGAATAAATACTATATGTTATTTAGGACACAAGACAAAGCCTAGGTTTATAACCATGGCCTCTTATCATAAGTCCAATGTGTAAAAGTTATTTCTACATTTCTCCACAATTCATGGCACCTCCAGAAAAGTAAAACTATAGTCTTCAATTTAGAATAAAATAAAACTCACATTCTGAAATTATTGCTCTCCATCATATAAAAGATTAATGTTCAAAAATTGTAAGTAAAACAAGTAACAAAATTTTAAAACTACTGTATTACATTCCTTCCACTAAAGTACACAACAACAGTACAATCTAACAAATTAAGTAAAAAGTAACCGATGAGCAAAAGACATATTACAAGGCTGGCTGGAGGTGGCCCACACCTTTAATCCCAGCACTTGGGGGGTAGAGACAGGTGGATCTCTGTGAGTTAAAAGCCAGCCTGGTCTTCAGAGCAAGTTCCAGGACAGGCTCCAAAGCTACAGGGAAACCCTGTCTCGACAAAAACCAAATAAGTAAATAAATAAATGACACATGAAAACAGTTTTCAACAGTGAAGAAACAATATATCTACACTAATTGATCTGAAAGTGTACCTTTGCTACTCAAGACTCATAGAAAACTTATCTGTCAGATGACAGAAAAATGATAACATGGCATTTCTGTTGAAGTCAAGGAAATATAAATACCCAGGCTCAAACACAGGCTGGCTTTCTATCTCCCTTAGGAAGCTACAGCCCCAGGAAACATTAAAACACCTAAAAGTGACACACTTCTAACGTCGTACTGCTAATCCCAAGAGGCAAACAAAAACTCTAAAAAGAATTTTAAAACTCACCTGTAAAAACACAAGCAAACAAACAAAAAACAAAAACAAAAAGTGTAGAATATAGAGCAAATAGGTTTGGTTCTTTCCACTAAACTGAGAGGCAGGAAGAGAAATTATTACCACCTTATCCTTGAGAAAAATACATTTTAAAGACAGGATGTCTTGGTGGAAGTGGAAGCCCTGGATTCCATCCTCAGCAACACACACACACATACACACACGTCTACACATACACATGACGTCTACTTTACAAATGACAACATTCTACAAGAAGCTTCAATGTATACACTATCAAAGCTCACACCAGAAGGATGTACATGCATATATAAAAATAGATTAAACATGTGGAAGTTATTAATAAAGCAGGACTTTGAAAGTGTCAACTTATACTCTTTTTTTGAACCATTTCATACAAAACGGCAAAAGAAAAAAAAGCTTCTTTTAACAAAAGCTGTGCTAGTGGTCTTAAAAAGAAAAGGAGGGGTTAGAAAGATGGCTCAGTGGTTAAGAGCAGATACTGCTCATACACAGGACCCAAGCTTAATTTCTGGCTCCCGTGTCAAGGACACACAACTGCCTACAACTCCAGCTGCAGAGGATCCAACACATTCTTCTGGTCTCTGAATACTTTTAGACTCATGTGCACATAGCTACACACACACACACATGATTAAAAAAAAAATCTTCAAACAAAACCATGAAAATAAAAAGATAAAAATAAACAGATTTAATTCTGATATTCATGTCTTGATTTAGGATTTCGAAACATCCCAGGTAGAGCCATCCATTAATAATTAAATCTTGCTTATTCTGGGACCCAGTTTCTGAGTATGATTCATATATATATGAAACACTATATATATATTATCTGAGAATAGGTCTCAATGAAGGCTAGCCTCAAACCAATGACCCTACACTTTAGGCTCCTAAGTGGTAACTTTAAGACATGTGCTACATCCCACTGGATCACACATGTTTTTAAAGACATTTATTTATTTTCCCCTTTAAAAGTTTCTAACCAAAGTTTAAAAGAAAGCTAAGAAAATAATGATTTAAAAGTAAAACTAAAAAGAAAACATACAACTATAAAAAGTGTTAGTTTTTAAAGCTGCTTAAAAGTGGAGTGGAGCAGTAATGTAGACAGATTTTTAAATACTTGCAGCTCATTTTCCTCCGTAATTTCCTTTAGCATTGTCAGTGCATGAGCCTATCTTTTATATATAAAACAACTTTTGGAACAGTAGTAAGAAAACAGATTAGAAAGTAAATTATCTCCACCAAATGATACAAATCTGATATAATATTTGACAACTAGCTTCCCCCCTAAACTATAAATCTTCCTTAAAAACTACAAACTACTAAAATAGTGTCTGACATAAAAAAACAAGCCATATCACTCTCTCCAAAAAAATGTGCTGTAAACTACCAAACTGGTAAGTTTTTAATTTCAAATTAAGATTTAGGAGAAATCATTAAAAAAAAAAAGTTCTTTTCAGTTTAGGCCTCTGAAGTGCTCTCAAAGGCTGTTTGCTGTATGACATCCTCCTGCAGGACCGCTCTATGCCATGCTGTTCTCATAAGCAGTTTGCATATCCGAAATACTGAACTTACACCTAGTCCCTGTCCCTAGGGTTGGAGCAGTGCAGTAGTGGTTAGGGCCCAGGGCCTCCCCCTGCAGTAGCCCTCACTAAACTCTCTAGTTGGAGATGTTTTCAAATCCAAGGCATTCTTGCTGCCTCAGCTTGACTAAGTGCTGGGATTGCAGGCATGTACCAGCACATCTGGACTCATTTATTTGCCTTCCTGTCCTTAACCATTATTCTTAGATTCAATCTGAGAGGACGGATTTAGCATATTAATCATCCAATACACGGTTTTCTTCTATATCTGTTTTGCAACATACAAATCCCTTTGTTTTTGAAGCAATAAAACTGAGAAGAACTTTAAATGACTTGATTTTGGAGTTCAAAATTCTTTAAAAGACAAGTCATATTTTCTCTTACACAGATTTGAGACAAACGAGCGGACTCTGTGCTGCCACCAGAATCTTGAATGTGTTTCCCTTACTGCCTCTAAGCGTTCTGGACAGGTATTCTGACTCAGGATTGTCTTGGGATAGGAATTAATTCTGGCAGCTTTTTTAGAAAAGAGTATTTTTTACCAATAAACACTAGCTCTTACCAACTAAATCTTATCATTTTCAGAGATGAGCAGCAATACACATTAAAAGACACAATACGGCAAAGACCTAGTATAAAACAAAACACAATTTTCTGACTTTAATCTTTTTGTGTAACCACACATCTTATTTTTTATCCTTTATCCTTATGTTAGTGCCCCATGTTGGCCTGAGAGCCTGATTTGTTAGTGTACCCTGCATTATAACAAAGTAAATTTTTGGTGTGAACAGTAACTTCTGTCTATTGAACTGAATTTCTTAAGAACTTTATGTGAAAACTCCAATAACATATTTAAGAAAAGCAAGCTTTCATTTAGTCATCTTAAATTATGAGAAAAATTTAAAGATTTTTGTCAAAGATTTATTGTAGTAAATCTACATAAGCATCAGATGTAGCAAGTTTCTAAGGCTTGAAACATCCTTTTTTAAAAAAAATTTACTAACAAGCTTAAAAATAAAGAATATATCAGGCAGTGGAGGCACACGCCTTTAGTTTCAGCACTCGAAAGGCAGAGTTCAAGCAGCCTGGTCTATAGAGCAAGTTCCAGGACAGACTCCAAGGCTACAAAGAAAACTCTGTCCCAAAAAAAAAAAAAAAAAAAAAAAAACCACATAAGTTAACAAACAAATAAATAAATAACGCTGTGTACATTGTATACAAAATAAATGTTAACAGTTATAAGAGCCTAAGGGCCTAAGAATCTTGAATCAATTGAAAGGAAATATTAACATTCTAAAATTGATTCTGAAAAAGCTAAAAATTGTTTAAAAGACTAATCTTTTCCCAACCATTATTTTCATTGCTTTAAGGATGAAACACTACTTTCAACATTAGTGAAAACTCCTAAATTTATTATAATATGACCAAATACTTTAAACTAATAGGGTTTGCTTGAAACTCTGAAATCTTAAAAATAAGAAAACTAATAAAAATTAGTTTTGCTCCTTAAGTCAACTACCAGTAGGATAGGTCAAGCTAGATCATTATTATTTCTCGGTTTCATTAAGTATCTTCTTAGACCTAGAAAGTAATACAGCAAATGGTTCTTATTTTAAATTCTCCACAAAAATGTGACTTGCAAACATAAAATAAGGTATAACAAGTCATGAATTTTGTCGGAGATATAACTCTTCAGACAGTGAAAACTGCCAAGTTCTACACATGAAAGGGGTGAAAAAACTTTTTAAAAATTAAAAAAATACTTAAAAAGAGGGAATGCTATAGTCCAAGGTAATGAGGTCCTTACCTCTGAGCTGCTGTTTTGACGCCTGGTATCTGTGCATGAGCATGATGGAAGCGCCTGCCATGAACTACGGTTCCAGAGCATATCGCTGCAGCTGGTGTATTTTCACTGCACATTCAAAAGCAAATAAAAGTTTGTACAGACAAAGTCACATACACACTGACAAAATAACACTTTAAAATCTGAGCATGCACACAAAAGCTGTGTGCAGTAAAATAATATTACTAAGTAACTCAGTAGGTAAAGGCAAGTGGCACCAAACCAACAAAGCTGAGTTCAATCACAGAACCCACATGGGGGAAGGAACAACTCAACTCCTCAAACTGTTGTCCGACCTCCTCCACACGCACATCATGGGACATGTATGTACACGTGTACACATGTACACATACACAATAAAGAAATGAATGCATGAATGTCTAAAAAAATTTTTTTTAAGATTCAAAGAATCTAAGGAATGTCCTGGCTTTACTGACAAATTCAGAAGAAATGGGGTAGGGAAGGCCTCTAGTCACAAAGTAGAAACTTTCCTTTACCTTCTCTATAATATCTACACATCAATCTTTCTATTTTTAAAGAACTGATTCTACTTTTAAATGTACCTCAGTTTTTTATTGTTGCTTAACATGTTAAGTCCAATCGGGTTGCCTTTCAAAGTTTTAAAACTGTCAGTCTTGTTTCGTCTTACATAGGTCTTCAAGATGAAATCACCAGAGCTAGTAGCAACAATCTCAGACCTCCGATGTAACTGCAAAAAGATCAATAGATGTTAGAGTCAACAAACAACATCACATGGTAATTTATAAACAATACCTAAAAACTCATTTAAAAAAAAAAAGCCAATTATGATGGCATACAAGGTGGAGGCAGGAGGATCACAATTTTAAGGTCAGCCTGAGCTACACATTTAATAAACCAGAGAGATGCTCAAAGGCACTTGCCAACAAGCCTGGAAACTGGGAGTTCGACCCCCAGGACTCACATGGTCAAAGTGGAGAACTGACTGTGTCAAGTTCTCCAACTTTCACAAGAGCCATGTGCACATACACACTCACACAAATGTAATTTAGAAATTTAAATGTGAATAGGACATAATGGGCTCTAATTAAAGCACTCTGGAGACTGGGAGGCAAAGCCAAGAGGATTGCCATAAATTTGAGGCTAGCCTGGTCTATACAGCGAGTTCCAGGCCAGTTGAGGCTATTAAAGTGATATTGTCTCAAAGAAAGGGATGATGTAGGAGTGTTTTCTTATTAAAGCGATATTGTCTCAAAGAAAGGGATGATGTAGGAGTGTTTTCTATCTATCTGTTGCTTTCATTGGTTAATTAAAAAAGAAAACTGCTTGGCTTGATAGGTCAGAACATAGGTGGGTGGAGTAGACAGAACAGAATGCTGGGAAGAAGGGAAATGAGGCAGTCGCCATGCTTCTCCTACCCAAGACGGATGGTGGTTAGAATCTTCCCAGTAAGCCACCACTTCATGGTGGTACACAGATTATTAGAAATGGGTTAATCAAGATGTGAGAGTTAGCCAATAAGAGGCTAGAACTAATGGGCCAAGCAATGTTTAAATGAATACAGTTTCCGTGTAAGTATTCTGGAGCTAAGCTAGCCGTGCAGGAGCTGGGCTGGACGAAAAGCAGGCCTGCTCGCCTCCATCACTACAAATCGGAGCCCAACGTGGCCAATTAAATCCACTTAAAAAACCTGAGTGAGCTTAATTTTAAATGCAGAAAAAAAAAACAGAGTTTAACACAGCTTTTTGCTGTTTGCTAGGGCGTGCTGTAGATAAATTTCCCTGACTCAGCAGCCGCAACAGGAAAAGAGCTGTGGTTTTAAAACGCAACTTCCTGGGCTGTGCCACCATCACAATCTCTGTCTGGCTCCTGCAGGAGTCAGAGCTTTGGAATGGAGCATTTGGAGTAAAGTGCTACGGCTTGCTTGATGGCAATGTGGACTGCTGTGTGCCTGGAACTGTGCACGGCTCAGGGGCACCAAACGGCTATGATGCAGAAGCGGCTTGGCTCTGCCATGCTGAACTCTGCTGATCTCAGGCAGGAACTATTGTAATTATCATAATAACAGCACAGTTAAGGTTTAGACTGTGCAGGAAACAGGATGTACTGTATTTACCTCTACATGGCGCAACTTAAGTTTTTAAGAAGTGCTTAACATTTTAAGAAATGCTCCTGGATAATAAAGAATTACAGATTCACAATAGGACAGATTCAGACATAGAGGACCTCTAAATGGGTCACAGTGTTGGATGGCTATATGTAGGCTTGGGAGAGAGAAAAAAAAAATAGACAATAAAGTTAATGCTTTAAAAAAAAGGGTAAAGTATTTAAAGAGAGAGTAAATAAAGAAAAGTAAGCCATGTAAAAATGGAAAATTCACAGAGGGTCTGGATTATTTATTTTATTGTGCTTTCTTTGAAATTTTTGACTGTGAAGGAGCTAAGTACAAAAAAACATTTCATTAATGGGCTGCTAAGCTGAACCTGCATATATGTTCTAAAGGTATCCTGACATCAGAATTTGGATCTAAGGATATCATGCTTTAGAAAAAGAGGAAAGGGAAGAAGAACGAAGAAAAAGGAAGGGTGGGCCAGGCTGTCAGGGGAAGGGAGAGGCAAACAAGATAAAAATATGCACAGCTATTGGAGACAGAGGGGGACGAGGTACAGTGGGAAGAAGACAGACCTGAGTGAGAACGGTTCAATTCTTTTCCCAAAGATAATGTGAATTTGTAGGAATAGGGAATATATTATTTTTCTTTCCATATAAAACTCTCAAAAACACTTAGAAAGTTAGAAAAATCTTGGGCTACTTTCCTCTCTAGAAAGCAAAACCAACTCCTCCCGCCAAAAAGTAACAAGAACTAACATTTCCACTGCTTAACAGACCTGCTGCCATCAGTAGGACAGTATTGCAAAATATGTGCCTTCCTCAGCATCCAAGTTTCTACATAAATACAAACCAAATTATAAATGTTAACATAAACATACTGACAAGAGCCTGGGGAGATGCCCAATATTTAATCAACCTATCTTTGGTACGATTCACTGAATAAGGCAAAAGTTGCTTTCCAACTCTATGGTCCTCAGTTTTTGTTTCTTTTTTTTTTTAAGTGGGTATGAGTTTTGTCCAAATGTATGTATGTGTACTGTGTGGGGCTATGGGGTCTTAGACTAGAAGAGGGTGTTGGATCCCCTGGAACTGGAGCTGTTGATCTACTATGTGGGTGCGGGTGCTGCTGGAAACTGAACCCAGGTCCCTCTCTAAGAACAGTAAGGGGTCTGAACCTGTGCCATCTCTCAAGCCCCAATATAAAAGAAAACCACATATCTATTTTACTCTTTTTTTTTACATTATTTATTTATTTCCCGTATGCAGTTCTCTTTTTCCTCCATGTGTACCAAGCAAATTTTACCCAGAGTGCCTTCCTATCTATTTTAATATCTTCTTTCTCCCTCCTTAAAAAATGCATATAGGGGCTGGGAGATGGCTCAGCGGTTAAGAGCATTGCCTGCTCTTCCAAAGGTCCTGAGTTCAAATCCCAGCAACCACATGGTGGCTCACAACCATCTGTAATGAGGTCTGGTGCCCTCTTCTGGCCTGCATAGAATATTGCATTAAAAATAAATAAATAAATAAATAAATAAATATTAAAAAAATACATATAAATTGAGAATATCATACAATCTATTTTGATCATATTACTCCCTTTCCTCAACTCCTCCCAGCACTGGGATTTCATACCCACACAGACATACATAGTCTTGGTATATAGCCCTTACAGGATTAACACTCAAAACAAACCTCCTCAGAATCCTGCTGGGATAATAGGCATGTGCCACCACACCCAGCTTAATTTCTTTAAAAAACAAAACACCAATGTCTATGAAATCTAGACCAGGATAAAGTAATGGTCTTAATCATTAGCCCAAAGTAAAATGCACATTTATTGGCTCTATAGAAGAAATTCTCTTAGGCACAAATAAACTGGCAAAAGGAACAGAGATAACTGGGATAAAGTTAATGACATTCTTCTATTTTTCTTGAGGTAGATGCTTGCCTGCTATGTTCAAAGATAAGGGTTCGATTCCTGGCATAACCTTTTACCATGTAGGTCCAGATATCAAACTCAGGTCATAAGTCTTGGTTGCAAGAGACTGTAGGCATTGGGTCATTTTCACCAGTCCCAAAGCAAGCTATTCTTAATATATAGAATAAATGAAATATATTCAACCTTTGGGAAAAGTCAAGAACTTCAGTTTGCCAGGTGATGGTGGTGCACACCTTTAATCCCAGCACTTGGGAGGCAGAGATCTCTGTGAGTTTGAGGCCAGTCTGGTCTACAAGAGCTAGTTCCAGGATAGTCTCTAAAACAACAGCGAAACCCTGTTTTGAAAAACAAAAACAAAAAAAAAATGCTATAAGCAAAAGACTTACATTAAAAACCTATAAAAGAATAGTGGCACATGCTTAGAAATACATTCTTGTCCTTGAACACCTGGGAGCTAGAGGCAGGATGGAGAGTTTGAATTTCAAGTCCTTAAGCACTTCACTAATGAGCTGTCTCTCCAGCCCCTCAACCATGTTTCTGATTAAGGAACTGTATGCATTCAAAAAGTCCTTTTTGAAGGCAGATATGGTGGTACAAGTGTAAAACTACAACTAGAAAGATTGAGGCAGGAGGATGGAGCATTTAAGGTCAGCATAGGCGACATAGCAATACTGTCTCAAATGAATGAGTATCTTTTTTGAGAACGCATAAGGGAATTATCTACCAACAACCCAAGGTCACATCAAAGCAAGAGTGTATATATAAGAAAAATTCATAAATTTCTTATTTCTGATGCCTACAATTTCTAAAGGATAGATCATTTCACTCAGCAACAAAATAACCAGTACTTTTAGTTTCATTATGTCGTGGTTTGAATATGGAAAGTTGTGGGACTTCTAAATGGAATAGGCTTGCCAAAGAAAATATGCCACCAAGGGCAGGTTTGGAGGTTTTATAATCTGCCCCACTTCCTGGCCTCCCACTCCTGCTGCCATGCCTTCCCCATCTTGATGACTGCACTTCCTCTCAACTCTCGGTAAATTAAGCCCTTTCTTCCCAATTTACCTTTTGTCAGAATATTAATTAACTACTTTAGTTAGGAACTATGAATCTCATGGAAACTATCATTTATTATATTGTCATTTCCCTTTAAAAAGGATTCCCTGGGGCTGGAGTGATGGCTCAGTGGTTAAGAGCACTGGCTGCTCTTCCAGAGGACCAGGGTTCAATTCCCAGCACCCACATGGCAGCTCACAACTGTCTGAAGATCCAGTTGCAGGGGATCTGACACCTTCACACCAATGCACATAAAATAAAGTTAAATAAACCATAAAAAAGAGTATATATATATTTAAAGAAAGAAAGAAAGAAAGAAAGAAAGAAAGAAAGAAAGAAAGAGGATGTAGCAGCTCCATGTCTGCCTGAACGCTGCCATGCTGCCCACCATGATAAAGNCTTTACTATTTTTTTTTTTTTTTTTGGCTGCTTATTTTGAAGATATGCATTTAGTGTAGTCCTAGCTGGTTTAAGAAAGATCTGCCGGGGCTGGAGAGATGGCTCAGTAGTTAAGAGCACTGTTCTGCTCTTCCAGAGGTCCTGAGTTCAATTCCCAGCAACCACATGGTGGCTCCAAACCATCTGTAAAGAGATCTGGCGCCCTCCTCTGGCGTGTGGGTATAAATGGAGGCAGAAAGTTGTATATATAATAAATAAATCTTTTTTAAAAAAAGAAAGATCTGCCTGCCTCTGCCTCCCCAGTTATGGTTTTAAAGGCAAAGACCAGCATATCTGGCTTTTTAATGTTTTCTTGAAGCAGGGTCACATGAATCCCAGACTGGCCTTAACTTCCATGTAACTGTTTTTTGTTTGTTTTTGTTTTTCGAGACAGGGTTTCTCTGTGGTTTTGGAGCCTGTCCTGGAACTAGCTCTTGTAGACCAGGCTGGTCTCGAACTCACAGAAACCCACCTGCCTCTGCCTCCCAAGTGCTGGGATTAAAGGCGTGAGGCACCACCGCCCGGCATAACTTCCCCGTAACTGAAGATGAACGTGAACCTCTGATCCTGCTGTCTCCATCACACATGCACCACCATAGCTGGTTTATGTGGTTTCACATATGCTAGGCAAGCACTCTACCACACCCAGGCCCATAAACATATTTATTCCATAAGTACAGAATTGTAGAGCCAGGCGGTGGTGGTGCACGCCTTTAATCCCAGCACTCGGGAGGAAGAGGCAGGCAGATCTCTGTGAGTGGAGGAAGAGGCAGGCAGATCTCTGTGAGTTCGAGGCCAGCCTGGTCTACTAGAGCTAGTTCTGGGACCGGCACCAAAAGCTACAGAGAAACCCTGTCTCGAACCGCCCCCCCCCCCAAAAAAAAAGTACAGAACTGTAAGGCACGTGCTATCAAGATGAGGAGTTGAGTCTGGATTCTCAAACCCTCATAAAGCCAGGCAGGCACGGTGTCCCCTTGACATCCAAGCATTGGAAAGCAGATAGGATACCAGGAAAGTGGGCTCTATTAGCCAAGTCAGCAAACTCTGGGCTAAGCAAGAAATTCCGCCTCAATAATAAATAAAGCAAAGATCGGTTAAGGAGACCTCAACTATGGAGCACAAGCACATAAGCACCCACACTCAACACACACACACACTTTTCTTTTTAAAAAACAACACAAACACTATTTTACTATTTTAGATATCTAGCATATCTACTTTTTTTTCTCCTAGTAATTTTTAATAATTATGGTCTTAGTCACTAATACACCAAATTATTGAGGAGTGGGAAATATAGTCATAACAAGTATAAATTGAGCCACTTATGAATGATTATCTCACAGGTCAGAATATTACTGTTCAGCCGGGGAAATGTCTTTAATCCTAGCACTGAGAAAGGCAGGCGGATTTCTGTGAGTTCGAGGTCAGCATGGTCTACAGAGTGAGTTCCAGGACAGCCAGAGCTACACAGAGAAACCTTGTCTCGAAAAACCAAAAAAAAAAAAAAAAAAAAAAAAAAAAAAAAAAAAAAAAAAAAAAAAAAAAAAAAAAAAAAAAAAAAAAAAAAAAA